GCGTTAAATGTTCACAAGTTCCTGGCCCAGAAATTTAATAAAAAATTAACCAACCACACTATTTCCCTGATTTGGCACCCTATGACTTTTGGCTGTTTCCAAAATTTGCTGACAGACTTGCTGACATTCTGGACATGCAGCTTGCTGCAACAAAAGATACTGTGCAGCGTTCCAGAAATCAAATTACAAGAATGTTTCTGGCAGCGGCACAGTCATCTAAAAAAGTGAGTTGCTTCACAAGGAGACTACTTTGAGTGCCGGTTCACATATATACAGATTGGATGTGGTCTGCATAACATGTGAAAAAACATTGCTTCCTATGGTGCCTGTTCACATATGTCCGGTGCACTGGCGGTGCAGATACAGTGCCATTTGAAAAACAGTCATATATGATTTCTGAGCAGTGCCTTCAGGTTCAGGTGCAGATTGCAGGCTATTGACTTATATGGGATCCATTTGTAAACCACGTGTGTGTGAACAGGATAGGATCCTGAGCTAATCCTGTCCTGAACATGATGTAAAGTAAACCTGAACAGCTACTGTATCAATTGGATGTGAAACCTGAGCTTCAATCCACACCACAGATGTGTGAATCAGCTCTGAAGGTGACAACAGCTAGTGTGTAGATAAGCAAATACAAAATTTTTTTTTACAGTTCATTCCAGGAATTAAATTGTCACATCTTATAGTTCTCAATGAACTACGAGGATGCTGATGAGCGCCCTCATAATTTATCACTCTTCTTTCCTGGAGGTACAGTACATGCAGACAGTTGTGCTGAGTTTCTTTAGGAAGCTGATGATGAACCTGCTGCTGATCGCAGGTGCAATGTTCTGCAGGTTCCTACGAAGAAAAATAATAAAAATGCACATTTCTTACCTGCTAAAAATTAGCTTTTTTTTAAATTGAACTTAGCCTGCAAAAATAAAATCAAGCCTGATTGCTCTAACAAAAGTATGGTTTCAAGTACCTGACACAGGTGGGGAAAGGGTAACTGGCAGCCAATCAGCAATCATCTGCAACAATCTGATATTTATCACTGACTGGGAGGCTCTTAAAATGACTGGTTACCTCATATGAACAGTACCATCTTCCCCAAACATTTTAACCAAGAAAGAAGAAAATCTTCAAAAGCTATTTTTTATGCAACAGACAAGATTTTGCAATAATCCTAATCAAATGGTTACAGGCAGGCATCATACAGCAAACACAAAGGATGAGAATCCATGTCTTTATAGACACACTGATAGCATTATAAACAGAAAGGTTTACTACAATATATAAAATAACTATAATATGCTAGTGATTGTTAATTTATATACTGATCACAACTGAATGGCAGTTGCTTTCTACAGTGAGAATATACATTTACAGACCATATACCTGAATACAAGTACAGACGAAGAATGGAGCCCCTTGCTCTGGCCTAATGTGCATACTTCCAGTTTTTTGTTGAATCCAGCCAACACAGTAGGTCTATTGCTTTACATTTATCTGCATCAACTAATTTACATTGGTGACCAATGGAGTAGTGGCCCCTGATATATAGGTGGTCAGTGCACTTTACACTTTACTTGGTGGTCATTGTAGTGCCCCCTGTTACATTGTCAGTCAGCATAGGGCTCCCATTACAGCAGTGTTTAGCGTATTGTTCCTAATACATTGGTGGTCAGTGTAGCACTCTCTTTAAATCTGTGGTCAATGTTGTGCCCTGCTATGTTGCTGGACAGTTTAGTGCCCCATTACATTGGTAATCAGTAGTAAATTGCCCCACTGTGTTTGTGTCAATTGGGAAGTGCCAATTACATTGGTGGTTAGTGTAGTGCCCTATTACATTGGTGTGTCAAATTGTACCATTCTATTGTTGTCCATTGTGTACTGGCCCATTATACTGATGTCAGTGGTGAAGTAACCTGTTATATTGGTGTCCCTGGTAAACTGCTTGGTACATTGGTGTCAGTGTTGAAGTACCCTGCTACATTGGTGTCAATGGTGAAGGGGCCTGTTACATTTTTTCACTGGGGAAGTGCTTGTTACATTGGTGTCAGTAAGACAGTGCCCCATTATATTGGTGTCACTGGGAAAGTTCCCATTACTTTGGTGTCAGTGGGTAGTTCCCATGACATTGGTGTCAGTCGGGAAGTGCCCCATTACATTTGTGTCACTGAGGAAGTGCCCCATTACATTGGTGTCAGTTGGGAAGTGTCCATTACATTGGTGTCAGTTGGGAAGTGTCCATTACATTGGTGTCAGTGGGGAAGTGTCCATTACATTGGTGTCAGTGGGGAAGTGTCCATTACATTGGTGTCAGTGGGGAAGTGTCCATTACATTGGTGTCAGTGGGGAAGTGCCCCATTACATTGGTGTCAGTGGGGAAGTGCCCCATTACATTGGTGTCAGTGGGGAAGTGCCCCATAACATTGGTGTCAGTGGGGAAGTGCCCCATTACATTGGAGTCAGTGGGGAAGTGTCCCATTACATTGGAGTCAGTGGGGAAGTGCCCCATTACATTGGAGTCAGTGGGGAAGTGCCTCATTACATTGGAGTCAGTGGGGAAGTGTCCCATTACATTGGAGTCAGTGGGGAAGTGCCCCATTACATTGGGGTCAGTAGGGAAGTACTCTGCTACATTGGTGTCAGTGAGGAAGTGCTTGTTACATTGGTGTCAGTAAGGAAGTGTCCCATTACCCTGGTGTTAGTAGGAAAGTGTCCATTCTATTGGTGTCAGTGGGGAAGTGCCCATTACATTGGTGTCAGTAAGGAAGTGTCCTATTACCCTGGTGTCAGTGGGAAAGTGTCCATTCTATTGGTGTCAGTGGGGAAGTGTCCATTACATTGGTGTCAGTGGGGAAGTGCCCCATTACATTGGTGTCAGTGGGGAAGTGCCCCATTACATTGGTGTCAGTGGGGAAGTGCCCCATAACATTGGTGTCAGTGGGGAAGTGCCCCATTACATTGGAGTCAGTGGGGAAGTGCCTCATTACATTGGAGTCAGTGGGGAAGTGTCCCATTACATTGGAGTCAGTGGGGAAGTGCCCCATTACATTGGTGTCAGTGGGGAAGTGCCCCATTACATTGGTGTCAGTGGGGAAGTGCCCCATAACATTGGTGTCAGTGGGGAAGTGCCCCATTACATTGGAGTCAGTGGGGAAGTGTCCCATTACATTGGAGTCAGTGGGGAAGTGCCCCATTACATTGGAGTCAGTGGGGAAGTGCCTCATTACATTGGAGTCAGTGGGGAAGTGTCCCATTACATTGGAGTCAGTGGGGAAGTGCCCCATTACATTGGGGTCAGTAGGGAAGTACTCTGCTACATTGGTGTCAGTGAGGAAGTGCTTGTTACATTGGTGTCAGTAAGGAAGTGTCCCATTACCCTGGTGTTAGTAGGAAAGTGTCCATTCTATTGGTGTCAGTGGGGAAGTGCCCATTACATTGGTGTCAGTAAGGAAGTGTCCTATTACCCTGGTGTCAGTGGGAAAGTGTCCATTCTATTGGTGTCAGTGGGGAAGTGTCCATTACATTGGTGTCAGTGGGAAGTGCCCCATTACATTGGTGTCAGTGGGGAAGTGCCCCATTACATTGGTGTCAGTGGGGAAGTGCCCCATAACATTGGTGTCAGTGGGGAAGTGCCCCATTACATTGGAGTCAGTGGGGAAGTGCCTCATTACATTGGAGTCAGTGGGGAAGTGTCCCATTACATTGGAGTCAGTGGGGAAGTGCCCCATTACATTGGAGTCAGTGGGGAAGTGCCTCATTACATTGGAGTCAGTGGGGAAGTGTCCCATTACATTGGAGTCAGTGGGGAAGTGCCCCATTACATTGGGGTCAGTAGGGAAGTACTCTGCTACATTGGTGTCAGTGAGGAAGTGCTTGTTACATTGGTGTCAGTAAGGAAGTGTCCCATTACCCTGGTGTTAGTAGGAAAGTGTCCATTCTATTGGTGTCAGTGGGGAAGTGCCCATTACATTGGTGTCAGTAAGGAATGTCCTATTACCCTGGTGTCAGTGGGAAAGTGTCCATTCTATTGGTGTCAGTGGGGAAGTGCCCATTACATTGGAGTCAGTGGGGAAGTGTCCCATTACATTGGAGTCAGTGGGGAAGTGCCCCATTACATTGGGGTCAGTAGGGAAGTACTCTGCTACATTGGTGTCAGTGAGGAAGTGCTTGTTACATTGGTGTCAGTAAGGAAGTGTCCCATTACCCTGGTGTTAGTAGGAAAGTGTCCATTCTATTGGTGTCAGTGGGGAAGTGCCCATTACATTGGTGTCAGTAAGGAAGTGTCCTATTACCCTGGTGTCAGTGGGAAAGTGTCCATTCTATTGGTGTCAGTGGGGAAGTGCCCATTACATTGGTGTCAATGGGGAAGTGCTCATTACATTGGTGTCAGTAAGGAAATGCCTCATTACATTGGTGTCAGTGGGGAAGTGTCCTGTTATGTTGTTGGTGGTAAGTAAGAACTAAATACATGCTGTAGCTGGTGTGAGTGCTGCTAGTTTTGCTGAGTGACCTCAATGTCTGAACGATGCAAGTGCCTGCAGTGTACCCCATGTGTGGTAACACCTTGTTAGGAGCAGAATTGTCACCCCCCCCTTGGTACTCCACTGCATGAACGATTCGCATATATTCAGTTATCTTAACTTGTTTGTATCCACTTTTACTAAATGTGTTTTGTACATCAAAATAAGGATCCAGCGCTCAATCTTGGTCATACATGGGGGAGGGAGTTGATTAACTAAAGTAGTAGAACATGTTTGTAAGGCAAGTGGGTGACACTTCCTCCCTGTTCCCTTCCTCCTTGGGCACCAAGTGTGGGTTACATAGGAGGCCTACCCTGGGGTGGGTTTCTTCTGGGCTACGCTAGGCACCTAAAACAGGGTAACTCTACTTCACACACATGGGGTACCTTTACTCTGTGCCGTTTCATCATTGCCTTGGGACAAGGCTGAGGTATTCATCAGGGAATACTTGACTTTAAAGTGTTACTAAACCCAGGGCCCTGCATTCACTATATCTGGTCTCGCACAATACACACAACATGGAAATGCAATTGTTTTAGTAAATAAAAACTGCTAAATACCTTTTCTCATCATCTTTTCAGCAGTCAGAGCAGTCTTGTGACTTCTATCAGTGTGCAGCCGAGCACTGGTTAAAGCTTGTAGGAGGAGTTTACATTTTGCTCTAGGAGGATGAAGAACCCCTGACCTCTGTCTGGACAGTGCTGATTGGCCCTGTGCTGATCACATGCACTCTCCCAAGAAAAAAAAACCCTGTCTAGCAATACACACCAAACTGAGCATGTGCAGAGTGACTCCACATGATTTGTCTTATCAGGAGATAAGAGGGTGGCACTGGAAGAAGGGGAGGATCAGAGATTCAGGATCAAACAGCGTTTACACAATGCAAATTATAAACCCCTTAAGTTCCACAGTGAGTATAACAAGCATGCTTTACTGCATATACAGACTGATTTTACTGTTGTGAGTTTAGTAACACTTTAAGGCATGCCTCTGACATTAGAGATGACTGATACACAGTGTACACTTGCACAGCTTTTCTCTCCAGTTACTCTCAGGTTCCCTTGTAAATATACAGTTGTGTTCCAAATAATAGCAGTGTGTTGAAAAAAGTGAATAAAGCTCAAAATCCTTCTAATAGCTTTTATTTTCATACACACAAATGCATTGGGAACACTACACATTCTATTCCAAATGAAAACATGAAGAAAAATATATCAAATTTGTGTTGTTCCTCTAAATAAATTGAAGAAAAGTGAATATTAGACTGTTAAAAAAAATAGCAGTGTTTGTATTCTTCTTTACAAACTCAAACATTCACTATATAAACTGAAAAATGTTTGAAGATTTTGCTTTCCTTTGAATCACTTAATGAATATTTAGTTGTATAAGCACTGTTTCTGAGAACTGCTGTACATCTGTGTTGCATGGAGTCAACCAACTTCTGGCACCTGTGAACAGGTATTCCAGCCCAGGATGATTGGACTACATTCCACAGTTCTTCTCTATTTCTTGGTTTTGCCTCAGAAAGTGCATTTTTGATGTCACCCCACAAGTTTTCTATTGGATTAAGATCCGGGGATTGGGCTGGCCACTCCATAACGTCAATCTTGTTGGTCTGGAACCAAGATGTTGCACGTTTACTGGTGTGTTTGGGGTCGTTGTCTTGTTGGAACACCCATTTCAAGAGCATTTCCTCTTCAGCATAAGGCAGCATGACCTTTTCAAGTATTCTGATGTATTCAAACTGATCCATGATCCCTGGTATGCGATAAATAGGCCCAACACCGTAGTATGAGAAACATCCCCATATCATGATGCTTGCACAACCATGCTTCACTGTCTTCACAGTGTACTGTGGCTTGAATTCAGTGTTTGGGGGTCGTCTGACAAACTGTCTCCGGCCACTAGACCCAAAAAAGAACAATCTTACTTTCATCAGTCCACAAAATGTTGCACCATTTCTCTTTAAGCCAGTCAATGTGCTCTTTGGCAAATTGTAACCTCTTCAGCACATGTCTTTTTTTCAACAGTGGGACTTTGCGGGGGCTTCTTGCAGATAGCTTGGCTTCACATAGGCGTCTTCTAATTGTAACAGTACTCACAGGTAACTTTAGACCTTCTTTGATCTTCCTGGAGCTGATTGTTGGCTGAGTCCTTGCCATTTTGGCTATTCTTCCATCCATTCGAATGGTAGTTTTTTCACTTTCTTCCACGTCTTTCAGGTTTTGGTTGCCATTTTAAAGCATTTGCGATCATTTTAGCTGAGCAGCCTATCATTTTCTGCACTTTTTTATATGTTTTCCCCTCTCCAATCAACTTTTTAATCAAGGTACGCTGTTCTTCTGAACAATGTCTGGAACAACCCATTTTCCTCAGAATTTCAGAGAGAAATGCACTGTAACAAGCATGTACAACATTTGCTGCCTTCCTTCCCTAAATAAGGGCAATAATTGCCACCTGTTTTTCAAAGAATGAATGACCTCACTAATAGAACTCCACACTGCTATTATTTTGAACATGCCCCTTTCAATTAGTGATTCAATGACACAGAATCAGCAGCATGTATGTCATGACTATTGGGTCTGTTGGATTTCTATTACTCTACTACACTTGCTAGTAAATTATTTGCCATGTAGAAATATCATTTCTACCAAAAACAGTGATTGATCAGGTTAGTGATGTCTGACTGCTATTATTTTGAACACAACTGTACTTCTTCCCACTGTAGCTTGCAATTAGACAGGCCGTGCCAAACACTGACCACAACCACCTGTCCAGGGTTTCTCACTACTAGTCCTGGTAGCAGTATGGAATCCCACTATGCACATTGCATGGGCTCCAAGCGTGTACTCGACTTTAACTCTTGAACTTCTGTACCTCTGTACAGGATGGCAATTCCACCTATAACAGGTATAACAGGCTGCTTTCTTACTGTACTTTCCATTGCTTCATGGCAACCACATGTATAGCTTGCATTAAGGTGACTCTTAGCATGTTAACTCTTCATATCCCATGTACTAGTACCCAAGCTGTAGACTAAGTGCGCAATAGTGGCAGTTACTTGCAGTGCACCCCTTTCAAAGGACTTCAGACCAGGCTAAAGGCAAAGTTTAATGCTTTACTTGAGTTAAAGTGCAACATTACAAAATAGTCCAAGCAGACAAGGTAGTCCAGCAGAACTTCAATAAAATAGACAACATTCCTAAGTATCTAGTCCCTTCTCCTAACCAGGCTCTGTGGTGCCATGGCGTACCTGAGATAGAGTCCATGTCAAGCATGGTCCAATAGTAGCATCCTCCAGTAGCTGGTATCTTTGGGGGGAACTTCAAGTTGGGCGGCTCTCTTATCCTAAGGTCTCCTCACTGGCTGGATCCCTCACAGAACACTGCAGATGAAGTAGCCATAGGTCTCTCAAACTCCTACTGGGGGAACTGGGAAAAAGGGAAGGTAAGGCTCTCAGACCTGGCCCACTGTCCCTTTTGATATACACAGGAGTATTGGGTCAGACCCAACAATCCTGCCAAAAGCCAAAGAACTGGGATAGGCATTAATCCCTACCCTCCCATCTCTGGCAGCACCTATCTAGCAAAATTTTAACCCACTTAACAGTTCATTTTCAAAACAAATTTTCTCTGGGGGGGTTTTGTTATAAGAGAACTTGTTACTCACATCTGAATGGGCAAAGTCACAAAGTCTCTTTAAAGGGAATGTATTGTCTTTGAAATATTGAGATATTGAAATAATATCTCAGTATATAATTTCAGCAATATTTGTTCTTATATTCTAAAATTCTAATTTCTATATACAATTTGTTAATTATATACATCTTCATGGGGCAGCCATAATTGTTCATTACATATAGAATATAGGTTCTGCTTCCTGCTTTGTAGCCCAACAAAATGTTCCTTCTCACAATGCAATTCTATATGAATTTCCTAAACCCTAATTTACACAGATGTAAACATCATTATGGAGAGACAATTGTGAATGATGGACAGATAGATTTAGGTCCAAAAAGATGAAAGTTAAGAGTTATAAGCAACACCTCCATATTTTATTTTTTTCAGTGCTTGGAAATAATCTTTACTTCTGTTACACATGTACAATGTGATATTATTTCTAGAAGCAAAGCTTTCCAGCACAGGAATTTAAGCCCAAACTGTGAAATATAATTCCATAGAAAAGGAAGCAGCCACCAGAGACAGCGCTACTAATTCTGAATATGAAAAAAGAACACAAGATTCTGTCTAGATTTGTCAATGGTTGTTACAGATTATTTGTGTCCATTAGGATTCAGAAACAGTTAAATGTCCCATGGAAACTCAAACACCTGGACTAGTTAAATGATTTCAGATAGGGAGATCTACATTAATAATTTCCCATGGAGAAATAGTGAAGGTTTCTTTTCCGATTTGAGCAATTCACATCTTAAATTAAAGTGCTTCATCTACAATGTAATAGCTATAGATCGTCTCCCCTGTGTGTCAGTGTTTCATATTGACCTGCAGTGAAGGCAAAGCTACAATCTTTCTTCCTAACACAACAGATGCCACTGTCAATTCACAGCGCACTGCAATTTTCATGACATCATTATTTCTGGGGGGAAATCAAAGAATTTTCTGTATTGGAAAATGTGTCATTTTTTTTCTTCCTCTCATACCGCGTTAGTCTTCTCCAGACCAACATGCTGCTGGGTTGCAATGTAGATGGTAATTTTTTTGTGTCCTTTTAAAAGCAAAAAGGGAAGAAAAGTACTTAGACTTAATTTATATTAAAGTGGTCTTGTGGAAAAAATAAAAATGTAACCTTTATAGTCATTTGAAGACCAATCCATGCACCTTATTTTGTTGGGTGAGGGAGCTTTGGTTTAAAGGATAAGTTCACCTTTTAGACAAAAATAATAAATGCACATTTTTTTGTAGGTAAAAAATTAGCATTTTTTATTTTTGTCTAGAGGAGCCTAGAAAGCTTGTACGGGATGTACAAGCAAGCAGATATTCTGACAGGAAGCTTCAATGAACTACCATGGAGATCCATAGCACCATGATAGTTCATTGAAAGCTACAAGCTGACAGCCGCTAAGGCTGCCGGGATTTGCAGTTCATTCATTACTGAAGTCTGTGAATTAATGATGCAACCATATGGGCGGAGCCCCGCATGGCCATGCTGTTTTCAAATCTGACAGATAGTACAAGGAGAAGTCTCCTTGTACTATCTGTCAGAGAGAGGGGAGCGATGTTGCGGCTGCAGCTATGGGAACATGTTACATATTCCACCCTAAAAAACAGGTGGAATATGTTACATGTTCCCAAAGGTGAACTTATCCTTTCAATTGGTCTCATTAGAGCACCAATGCTTTGAGAGTTCTGGAATCTAATCACAAGTCAATTTAATGATTATAGTGAACATATTAGGGATCTAATTATAAATATTTACACCCAAGACCCATATATTTTTCCAGCTGAATCCAATTAGAAAATGTGTGAATCGTGGATAAAGTTGTGTGAATCTTGTTAGAAAACTTTAAAAATAGACCTCAATATACTGTATTGGAAAACATTTGTGGACAACTGACCATCCCACTGTTCAGAGATCTTCAGGCATGCCATTCCAAAAACATGTGTTGATAAGGAATTGGCCATCCTTTTCTGACTTTTAAAGCCTCCACTCCTCTGGGCCAGCTATTCAATAGTTTTGGGAGTGTGTCTGTGGGAATTTGTGCCCATTTATATTTAGCCAACAGAACTTTTGTGGGGTCAGGTGCTGGATGAGAAGACCTGGCTCCGAATAGGCATCCCAAATTATCCGAATGGTGTTCACTAGGGTAGGGATCAAGGTTCTATGCAGGTTACTCGAATTTTCCACACCAAACCTTTGTGTATGTTTTTATGGAGCTCTCTTTATGAACAGGGGCACAGCCATGCTGGAATCAAAACTGTTGCCACAAAGTTGGAAGCACACAAAAACAGA